CATATCTAAGGTAAAGTAACCACAAAAAGAATAAAACTGTTGTAAATTAGTGTGTAAATGCATAAATTTGCAGTGGCGATTTAATATGCAGATAAATAATACTAGTTAAACACTGTGGTTTTGGCTTTTTAGAAGCTTGGGGAATTAAAAAGAAGCAAGATTAATTTTTGCTTGATGGCCTAGAATATTGTTTTGAGTAATTGATTTTGGTATGTTGTATAAATCTAGCCATTGAATAAACTCTGGTTTACAGTACTCTAAACCTAGCCAACAGCATTATGGTTAATCTATTTATACAGATAGTTTATATGTATCTACCACTAGATAGAAACCAACAAAACACTTTCTCAAGTACAATCCAAATGATAGGACAGTGTTTTTTAATTATAGTTTGCTAGGATGAAGGAGTAGACTTCCACAGTAGCCATGCAGCCTTGAAAACAAACATGACTTCTTAATGAGTTGCAATAGTATTGGGTTTACCATTCCATATTACTTTGAAGCCCATCTTTCATATCACATTCAAAATATTTCACAGCCCTCAAAGCAGTGTTTAAATCATATTCAGAAGGTTGAAGGTTCACATGGTAAACTATTGAACTAAAAGTAATGGCTCCAGCATCATAACTTTAATTTAAATAGGGATATTTTAGTGAATGAAACAAGAAAATAATCTTTGAAATGAGCTCTTTTGTTCCCTGTATTTATTTCTCCACATAATCATCACCATTCAATTTTTTTGCCAAGGATGGGCAAATTTCTTACAGTTGTCATGAAAGAACTCCATCCTTTGTCTCTTCATTCAGGTCTTGACAGTCTTCTCCACCTCTTCCTTTGAGCCAGAGATGTCCACAAAGGTATTCCTTCAGGTTGGGGAAAAAGTAAAAGTCACATGGCATCATGTCTGGACTGCATGGCGGATGGAATAAGATGGTGCGATCCACATTCATAATTGCATCTTGGGAAGCTTATGAGATGTGAACTTAGCATTCTCATGTTGCAGCAACAATTCATTCTTGTGCTTCTGAATTCTGCTTAATTGCTTCAAAGTGACATAGGTGGAAAAGATATCAGGACATGGTTGAACAGGTAAAGTGTAGAGTTCTTTTGTGATGACTTTAAGACACTTAATTCATTTTTGATAGAATGTGTGTTGGTAGCAAATGGTGGTGATTATACAGAGAAGTAAATATAGGGAACGGGGGATGCTCATTTCAAGGATTATTTTCCTGTTTCATTTATTAAACTCTTCCTATTTAAACTAAAGTTATTGAGGTAGATATATTACTTTTCATTTAACCCTCATACTTGTTCCACTATTACATGGAGGAACTTCTGTCTTCCATTTCAGAATTTAACTAAGGCTTATAAATTGGCAGTCTAACGTTAATAATGCAAAAATTAAAATAAGTTTAAATCAGTATTTAGCAGCTAGAGGGTAAGCAAGGAGAATTTCCAAGATATAGTTTAGTTCTAAAGTTCACAACTATTTGTATATTCTATAACCATGTTTGGTATATTTATAGTTAAATTATGGCTATATTTTCTAATTTTCTTCTAATAGTTCAGATTATCAGTTTCGGTTTACTTAAGCAGAAAATGCATGGTATCATTTGTCAATATATATAGCTCCATTTCTCTCTAATTGAGCAGGCCAGCAACCACTGATTAATTGTTAACGTGACTGCATCACTATAGCCTGAAAAGCGAAGCAGTGATCTTAAGGTGGTTATCAGTTCCATGTTTGGACCACATTTGACTATGATTGGTTAGTAAAATAGCTTAATATGTTGAACAGGCATTAGGTGGAAGATACGGAATTACGAGTAAACATTTTATATGTCCATTTATAGTCATAGCAATAGCAAGATGATCACTACTCGGAGCTATGTGTGCTGCATGGGCTGTTCTACATCTACTAAGCTAGTATTCTATTTTCAGCCATGGTGATAAAAGCTTATGTGATGTTAACATAAATTCCAGCTTTTGCATATGACAGTGGTGGCGAACCTATGGCACGGGTGCCAGAGGCAGCACTCAGAGCCCTCTCTGTGGGCACACGCGCCGTCGCCCCAGTCCTAGGCCTTCAGCTGGGTTTTATAAAATCTTTTCACTTTAGGCCTCCGCCGCCATGTGCAAAAAAAAAAAAAGGTTCAATCAGTCAATTTCAGTTTCTCATGGGGAAAAAAAGATCTTGCAAAGTTGGAATTGATTGATTGAACTTTTTAGTCCCGCCCAGTCTGCTGTTACCACTGCAGCCACGCCCACCCAATTGGCCATACCCGGCCAATGGGCCACACCCAGCCAATGGGCCACACCCACCCAGCCCTCGATGATGCATAAGTGGATTTTGGGTTGCAGTTTTGGCACTCAGTCTCTAAAAGGTTCGCCATCACTGGCATATGAAGTGGTTGTATCAGGCTGGCTTTTGCCTATAATAGTAACATTTCTTGAAGAACAGCTCTTGCTTTGTAGTTGAATATGGTTTCTATATTGTTGTGCTACTGTAATATTAGAAATCGATATTCCCTATTCAGAAATTTAATTTAGGTTTGATTCAAGTCAATGTAGGGATTAAAGAAATAACTCAGAAATTTAATTAGTTGACTCTCTCATCCACCCATCACTTTTGATAGAGTTTGAAGCCTTATGACAGTGTTTCTCAACTTTGGGAACCTTAATCTGTGTGGACATGCTGGCTAGTTGAAGTCCACACAACTTAAAGTTTCTAAGGTTTAGAAATTCTGCCTTAAGATAATGTCATTCCATTTGAGACATTTTGGCAAACTACATTGATTTTGTTATTACTCATGAGATCAGAAGATTAGTAGGTCGTTTATATTAACCATCTTTACAAATAATTAGTTATTCCTTCAAATCTCATTTTTTTCCTTTGGAAAAATTCATTTTATTAAAATTTCATATCTGAGAAGGTGGATAGTCTGTTCACCATAGTGAATTGTCTCCTATATTGATAATGGACCTGTTTTGTTTTTTTAAAAAAAATCCTTTAACTTAACTTGCTTATTGTTAACAAAGCAGTTCTTTTTTTATTAACTCAAAAGCACACCCACTCAATTAACAATGTAAAAACAAAGAAAATGAGATATCAATCAGGTTGCTAGATTCCTTATTTGTTAGGTGGGCAAACTGTGGACAACGAATTCATATTCTAGCATTGTGACTGTTTTCAGAATAAAAATTGATAATAAAAATCTTGAAATAATAATGATTATTTATTACCTTTATATGCCACCTAACTCCTAGTGATTTTGGGCAACTCACAGTAATCAAAGAAATTACAATAAATCAAATTATTTTTTTAAAAAGATGGAAAGTGCAGAAGAAGATGGAATGAAGCAAGGGGTGTCAGTCTCCATTGCTAAAGACCTGGGTGAAGAACCATGTCTTCATTGCTCTTCTGAACAACAGCAGAGTTGGGGGACCTCATTCTGGAGGGTAGGCACTTCTTTGTAGATGTGCTTCTGGGGTCCTGAAATATGAGATTGTAATCAAAGGAACCCAGAACATGCCAACCTTGCACGATCGAAGTGGTTGGCCAGATAGTATGGGAGACAGGTGGTGTCTCAAGTCACCAGGCCCTAAGCCATGTAGGACTTGATAGGGGACAACCAGGTCTTTGAATTTCATTCAGAAGAAAACTGACTAATTTTTAAAGAAAATCCAAAGCTATTTGGAACAAGAATTTGATTGTAAAATCATTTCATTGCTATTTTTTTGTGTGGATAGTAGTTATTTAAAAGGTGTAATCTTGTTCCGTCTTTCTTCCAGAAGTTTGAAACCGCATACCTAGGAGTATATGCAAGTATTTGTATCCATGCACTGTTGACTTTCAGATCTCTTAAAACTTTTGCAATAAAACAGCAACTTAGCCTCATTTGTCTTCATTCTTCCCTTTCTCTGTATGTATCTTTTAAAGGGCTATTCTCTGAAAAGGTGCTCTGGGTAGCAGCGCACATTTATGGGAAAGTAAAAGCTTCCCCCCTCCAGTATCCTTTATAGCAATAGAACAAAGTGTGTAACTTTCATGAAGCACTGAAGTCACTTGGTATCTCTGTTTAGCACACAAGCTCCGCTATGTACCTAAAAGTCAGAGATAATCCTCCCAGTTTACCATCGAAAATGTAAAATTTAATCTTTGAAAATCATTTTACTACATACAAAAAAAGCTTGCAGGACCATTCAATTCATACAATATGCTATTTACCTGCTGTTGTATCGTTCATACACATTGCTACAGACAAAGAAATATAAAGAAGGTATTTGGCTGAAAGTTGATACTCCTTTGTACTATCTTTATATTAAATGTTTTATATTAAAATTATAAAAATAAAGCCAGGAGCCATTTTTACTTTCTTGTTGAGAAATTAGATAAATATTATATAAATTTGTAATTCTTAAAATGATAAATATCCTTTAAATTCTTCTGTATATTCTCATAAAAGACTATTGGAAAAAGAACTTTGAAGGCCAAAGAGAAGCCAATTTAAGAATTTGAGTTGGATGATGCATGTTTAAGGCCATCTGTATAGAATGATAAGTTGAGAAGAATCAAAGAGTTTATTTCTGTGCTGATAAAGCCACATAGTTTAATCACTGATTAATTTCCATTATTGATTTATTCTGGAAAAACAAAGCTGATTTTGTATATATTAGTCACAATGAAAGATATTGGCAAAAACTTAAATCTTTTAAAACTTTACTATTAGCACTGTGCTGTAACTTTGAAAGTTACTTTTACTTAAAGATAGCTGAGTGATAAACATTCAGAATCTGTTTTGGTACACAGTATATTTTCTTTAAAAGAGAAAAATTGTCCATTTCTAATGTATAAACCATGTAAAATATATAGCAGCTTCAGTATTTAATGTATAAAATGGCTTGGATTTTTGATTAACTATTTTTAGAGACTTACAGATAAATAAATATATGAGTGGAGGGAAGCAACAGAGTATCTTAATATGTTCTCTCTCTTTCAGGTATGGCCTCACAAGTCTTGGTCTATCCATCATATATTTATCAAACTCAGCCAAGTGCCTTTTCTAATGTGAAGAAACTGAAAGTGGAGCCAAGCAGTTGTGTGTATCATGAAAGAGCCTACCCACAGCTCTATTTGAATGGTAACAATTTTGGAATCACTCAGCCTCCTAGTAGGGTTGGTGCTTTCTTGCAGGCTACAAATATATTTGACAGACCTCAAAGAGAGACTTTTTTGTTGCAGACCAGCACTGTTGATTTAAAAACTATTGCAGGTGCTACAAAAACCTTAGCAGTGCAGGCACAACAACCTCAAGTGGAAGCACCTTGGCCTGGGACCCAGGAAAGTGAGTTGAACATCTTGGACCGTCCCCAGCAATGTGGATTGAAGCGTAAGAGTGAAGAGTTAGAAAATCAGAGTGGCGCAATGCAGATTGTTGATGAACTGCCTATATTGCCTGCTATGTTGCAAACAAACTTGGGAAACCCAATGACAGTTATGACAACTACTGCAGCTTCAAAACCAAACGGTACCAGTGGTGATGGAGATTATCAGTTAGTGCAGCATGAGGTATTATGTTCTGCAAAAAATACTTACGAGGTTCTTGATTTCCTTGGGCGAGGGACTTTTGGCCAAGTTGTAAAGTGCTGGAAAAGAGGGACAAATGAAACAGTGGCAATCAAAATCCTGAAGAACCACCCATCTTATGCACGTCAAGGACAAATAGAAGTGAGCATATTAGGAAGATTAAGTACAGAGAATGCTGATGAGTTTAATTTTGTGAAAGCCTATGAGTGCTTTCAACATCATAACCATACTTGCTTAGTTTTTGAGATGTTGGAACAGAATTTGTATGACTTTCTGAAACAAAACAAATTTAGCCCTCTTCAGCTAAGGGTAATTCGGCCTATTCTGCAACAGGTGGCCACTGCACTGAAAAAACTAAAAAGTCTTGGTTTAATACATGCTGACCTCAAACCAGAAAATATTATGTTGGTGGATCCAGCACGGCAGCCTTACCGAGTTAAGGTAATTGACTTTGGATCTGCTAGTCATGTATCAAAGACAGTCTGTTCAACATACTTGCAATCTCGCTATTACAGGTATGTACCTACTATCTTATAACTGAAAGTTTTGAGTTTTCTGCACTGACTTATGTAACTAAATTAGTTTGTTTTCCAGAGTCCAAAATGCATAAAGTTTGGTAAGAATACTTCTTTAAATAGCTTCTTGCAGTATTTGATTAATTAAGTAGAACTTTATGGTTTTGTTATGCATACAGATCCTGAGAAGCACATAATTAGAATAATTATTAGATATTAGACTGGATAATTAAAGAAGTATTAGCTTTTCTGACTATGTTTTTTCACTTCCAGTGTTGAGAGTATTGTCCACCAGGAAATCTGTAAAACTAAAAATGCTTTATATTATTTTCACTGTCAGCTCCAGGCAGCTTAGATAATAGAGATGGTAGATCATGAAGTGATAGTTGGCAGCTAGCCTTGATGAGTCTGCTTATGCACCATGTAAAAACTTGACATTACATTGAACGAACAGCATGAATACTGTGTGAAAAAACGCTATGTACAAGTGGAAACAATTAAGTCCGTATTCTGAGATCATCTGACTGGGGAAATAAAGCACACTCAGGACTGATCAACACATTGTTTGCAGATATCAAAATAGTTTCTAATTTGTTCTGAGATTTTGGGAAAGTTTCCAGAATAGCCAGCAAAGGTATTTTGTTCAGGTATGTATATGAAGAGCATTTTGGGACCGACTTTTTTTTTTCTTGGATAAATAAGCCTGGTTTTGTCTGCCTGTATTCCACATTGTTCATTGAGCTAACAGGTAGTATTCTATAACAGGGCTTTTCAACCTTTTCACCCATTGTACCACTTTTAGGATATGGCAATAGCCAAGTACCACCAGTCGCCTAGCAAGGTGTCGAAAACTTGACCCACAAAAAAAGGGAAAAAGTGATAAAGTACAGGTAGTCCTCGACTTACAACAGTTTGATTAATGACTGTTCGAAATTACAATGGCACTGAAAAAAGTGCTCCCCAAGGCACAGCCGAGCAAGACACCTGCCCATCCAGCAGCGCTCTTCCTCCTGTCCGAGGTTTTCATTGTTGTGAGCATTTCTGTTGAGGATTGGTAGCAGAGGTGGGGTGGGGGTGTTTGGTTTTTATTCCACCTATCTGCTGGGTGGTTGCAGCAGGTTTTGGTCACTTCACATGACCCTGGGACACTGTGACCGTCATAAATATGAATCAGTTCCCAAGCATCTGAATGTAAATCACAAGACCCTGGAGATGCTGCAACATTCCAGCTGATCGGCGCTTCTTCTGGGCTCAGCAGAAGCACCAGGATCAGTGCCGAGCTCCAGCTGGAGCCTGGTGCTGTTCCTGGCGCTTCCACTGAACCCTGACAGCCCCGAAGAAGCGCCGATCAGCTGGAAAGCGGCACTGATCCTGGCGCTTCTGCTGAGCCCTGATAGCCCTGCAGCTTCAGCCATCTCTCACTCAGGCTTGTGCGGTGCTGCCACAGCTCATTCCCCTCCCTGCTACCACTTTTCTAGGATGGTCGCGTACCACCTGCCAGGTGCCAATGTACCACAGGTGGTACCCGTACCACTGGTTGAAAAGTCCTGTTCTATAACTTCTTTACCCCTTTTTATATAATGCCAAAGTTCCTTTGATTAAAAATCAATGACTTGGTTGTCCACCATTTCCAACGAGGGGAAAAAAACCCTGCAATGTAAACTTTTACAAAAGAAGTCAAACTTCATTCGCCAAATATAATACAGATATGTATGACATGGTCCTGCTCAGTTTGCTTCATCATACCCCTCTTATAACCCTCATAACTCTGAGACAAAAACTGTCTCTCCTGTAATCATCTATTCCTTCTGGGCTAAAGGAATCCTAATACAAAAAGCAGAAATTATAATGATTTTAATTCCCTAACCATCCTTGTTATGATTTATTAATCAATGGCACTCAGTAGGAAAGTGGTAACTTCATCTGTAAATGGTACCAGGTCATAGGGAAATGTAGTCAGGCAGAAATTGAAGATCAGGAATGGGACAAGAAAGAAAAAAAATTCTGATACAAATATAGCTCCAGCATTGCTCTATTCTGAAGTTGAAGGTTTTTCTGTTTATGAATGCAGAATCTTCTCTTGGCTCCAGCTGCTCCTTAAATGGTTGGAAAGGCTGTACAGTGATCCAAATTCCAAAGAGAAAAGGTAATTAAGAGATTGTATGGGTGTGTAGATTGCACCTGTTGATATCCCCTTCAAAAAGTCTCATTTAAGAAGGTGTCAACAAGTGTGTATGTGTACCAATACATGCTCTGAATTACTTTTTCTCCTTTGGAGTCTGGATCACTGTGTCATGGTTCCGACAGACAGAGACAAATAAAGCAGAACTCGGAGGCGTGGAAATTCCTCAAAGAACATGTTTCTTAGTTACAAAGTATTGGCACATCAAAAGTGAAACCAAGTCTGAAGACACACGTAACAGTTCACCAATACAGTTAAGAAATCCCACCTCTAAAGCTATGCAAGCAACTACATTCCCCAATACATCTTCTTGGTCGGCTTTTCATGAAACACTCAGCCAGCAGTCTCGGAAGCAGCCGATGACCTTGGTTTCCATGGGACAAAAGATTATTTTGACTGGCAATCTCCCTTCCCCCCTTTCTATGTGTCAACTGAAAATGAATAGGGAAAATGCCCACAGCCATGCTCATTTTCAAAGTTGACGCACTGTGCAGCTGATGGTTAACTGGATAGAGAGGTTACTATAAGTAAGGACTTGTATTTGAGGACACCTCAGCCGCCCTGAGTCCGTAAGGAGAAGGGCGGGGTAAAAAATTCAATAAACAAACCTGTTACTGCTGAGGAACTTATTTTTACACCCAAGCACCCTGAACTCCCAGCCTTCTGGTTCTGGATTTTCTTGGGAGACTTTTCTTGGGTCAGTTAGCTGTTGGGTTCTTGCATTACTGTATAGATGACAGTCATGATGGGCCCTTCTCCATAAGTCTTATAAGTTGTTGATACTCTGCCTCTTTCTCTAAGGGAATTTTGGGGGATCCGACATAGGATGGACTCTTAAATGTGTTTTTCTAAGGTTTGCAATAGTTTCTGAGTGATTGGATAGAGAAAATAATATATGAAAAAATATAGGTAGTTGTTGCTTAGTGATCATTCACACTTATAACAGTGATGAATAACTAACTTTACAGCCAATCCTCACATTTATGACCTTTGCAGGTCTGTGAAGGAAAGCTACAGTAAATTCATAAGCACAATCATGATTTCACTTAGCTTTGTTTAATCACCAAGTTGCCCTTCACAATTTTGATTGCTAAATGGGGGGACTAACTGTAAAGAATCACATCCTGATACGTCCCCTTTTAAAACACATTGCCTGTATCAGAATACTTTATTTGGTCAAGTGTTATTAGATTCCCAAGGAATTTGTCTCCTATGTAGAAGTTCTCAGTGTACATGCAAAGCAATGTACACCACCACCACCACCACCATCATCATCCCAATAAGATGGAGTAAAGAAAATAATAAGGGTAAATGATAATAGTACAGTCATACAACATCTATGGTCATTCATTGAAATTTTTAGTGGTGGATTTACTATATTGTGGAGAGTCCATGTCTTTAACCGAGGAAAGACTGTTGGCTTTCAGACAGTACTTCAGTTAGTAACAAATAGCTTTGAAGAAATGTCATTTGTATCAATGGATATAATTTCTAATGCATTATACAAATAATTCATTGACACATAAATGATGTAAAGCAGGGGTTACCATCCTGTGGGCCATGGCCCACTACTGGGCCGTGGCCTGCTGGCCACCGGGCTGTGGAACAGGCTGGCCAGTGCATGCACATGTGTGCGCACTCACCCCCACTCGTGCTAGTGCCATTGCTGCAGTGAAAATGGCACCGCATGGTGAAAACGGGCAGTGCTAGCGAGTGTCACACCGGGTGCTAGCACTGCCCCGTTTGCATCGCTCGTGCTTGTGGCCCTGTAAGCTCGTAAAATGCTTCCCCCTCCCTTTCCCTCTGGTCCGCCAACCAAGAAGGATTGGAGACCTCTGAGGTAAATCACAGTGGGAAAAAAAGATAAATCCAGCCAATTTTGTATCATTAGAAATCTATCATTACAGACATGTCAAACACAAGGCCCGGGGGCCGGATGCGGCCCGCGAAGTGGTTTCATGTGGCCTGCGAAGCCATCCTGGAAACAGTGAGGGAACGGCCCCGCTGCCTTGGCCCTGGCCCAGGCCGGCCGGGAGCCAATGTACAATTTTGTAGTGGCCATCTATGCTGAAACGCATTCAGTCTTAGCTCCACAAGTCTGTCTAGAAACAGTGAGGAACCAGCCCCTGCTGTGTCGGCCCCGCCCCCTGGGTGCATGCTGGGGAGGTGTCACCCTTTGTGAGGAATGAAGAAATGGACCATGCCTTGGCACTTGCCCTGGTCCCCCCCCCTTCTGCCAGAGACCCTCAGATCTGTCCCACTCCTGCCCAGGCCCCCACAGGCACCCTTGACGCGAACGATGTAGAGTTGACCACGCCTACCCAGTAGGCCAAACCCACTCCATCCATGCCCACCCAGTAGGCCACACCCACCCTGGCCACACACCCCCAAGGGCAACCACAATGCTGATGCGGCCCTCAATGAAATTGAGTTTGACAGCCCTGACTTATTACTATCAGATTCCATTGCCCAATAGTTCCTAAACTCTTTGCTATCACACCTCCTTTATTGTATATATGTATTGTATGTGTAATCTTACTGTATATTCTTCCCCTAGAAACCCAAATACCAACAATGAAAACGATACTATGGAAAAAGTGAATCTAAACGTTTTTTCATTACTACTCCTGGATTCTTGTCTACCTCTTCTAAAGGGAGGTATACCTCAGTTTGGGAAACCCTGCCATATACTGAAAAAGTTTGAAAACCTCTAATTTATAGCAAATTATTTAGCTGAAAAGTTATTTTTTTAAATATTAAATAGAAAAATAGCAAGACACTTCTTCTACAGCATGTATTATGTGTATATGTATTCTAT